CAGCAGCAGCAGCAGCAGCCGCAGCAGCAGCAGCAGCTGCAGCACCTGCAGCAGCAGCAGCAGCAAGATGTTCTTTTCGGAAGACGCCGCGTCGAGTTCGCCGAGGGTTTGGGAGCTTCTTCTCCTTTTGAAAAAGAAGCAAAGGAAGAAGAAGAAAAAAAAGAAATGACAAAAATTAAAAGAAAGAAATGGGGACTTGCTGCAGAAGTCTGAGGTGTACGTACACCCCAGCTGCTGCTGCTGCTGCACTCGTTTCTCCGCAACCAGCAGCTGCTGCTGCTTCTAGTGCTTGTTGTCGCTGCTGCTGCTGCTGCTGCTGCGGATTTTGCTGCTGCTGACTGCGCTGCTGCTGCAGCTGCTTCTGCTGCTGCGGCTGCTGCTGCTGTTTCTGCTGCTGGTTGACTCTTGACAGCAACAGCTGCGTGTGCAGCTAGCCATAGCTAGCCACAGCTAGCCACAGCTAGCCACAGCTAACCACAGCTAGCCACAGCTAGCCACAGCTACCTACAGCTATCCACGGCTATCCACAGCTAGCCATAGCTAGCCACGGCTAGCCACAGCTAGCCATAGCTAGCCACGGCTAGCCACAGCTAGCCATAGCTAGCCATAGCTAGCCATAGCTAGCCAGGTATAGCTGCAGCTGGCTGCAGCTAACTGCAGCAAACAACGGATAGCCGCAGCTAGCCACAGCTAGCCGCAGCTAGCCAAAGCCGGGCCCAGCTAGCCACAGCTAGCCAGATCGATCTCTGGCCAAGTGGCTGAGGGCCTAAATACAGCTAGCTATCAACAGCTTCAGCTAGCAGCAGCTGCAGCAGCAGCAGCAGCAGCAGCAGCAGCAAGCGACAGGTAGCCAGGGCTGCAAGTGTCGTGGCTAGCTGCGCTTGTTTGTGTTGCGCAGCGTTGCACATAAAGGCAGAAAAGGAAGATATTGGTGTGGAGACCCAAAACACTCAAACCCTGATTTAGGGTTTAGGGTTTGGCATCGAGGATTGCGCTGCAGCAACAAGACGGCAAAGTGCACAAGAACTTCAAGCATTAGAGCCAACTAAACTCAATTTAAAGAAAACCATTTTATTTATAAATTAATTATTAAATTAAAAAAGAAACTTTTATTTTAATTCACTTTTGTTATACCTACAGCTATTCCAACTGGGGGGCCCCTGGGGGGCCCCACAGAAGCCCCCAGCGGGGCCCCCTTGGGGACCCTCAGGGGCCCCCAGGGGCCCCCAGGGGCCCCCAGGGGCCCCTTTATGTTATTTTGAAGGTTTTGAGGAATTGTTTGGTGGAGAAAAAAGAAGAAAAGATGAATTTGAAAAGAGATTGAAGGGACTGAAGTGAATTGTGCCTTAGAATAGTGTTTGGGGTTTGCGTTTCGTTTCTGTCTTTGTTGCAAAAACAGCGCCATTTGAGGGAATACTTGAAATTGCATCTTTAGTTTACGAAATAAATTGAAAGTTTTGAACTTCGTTTGAAGATTTGTCGTTATTTGAGCATATCCACCTGAATTTGGCGGCCGTTCCACTTTTGGAAATGGAGTTGACTTTGGAGTTCGGGGGGGGCCTGGAGCAGCTGGTTCTTGGCGAAAAGAAAAGAATGAAAGTGCACTTTTCCGAAGCAAGTCCTCGCGTGAAACTCTTTCACGTAATATCTTTTGTGGCGCGTCGTTTGTTGTCGGGGAAGGCGGAGTTGTTCGCAGGTGCCTATACACCCCAGGACGCTGGGGTGTATGCGCAGCTCCAGGCGGACCGCCGCGCGCTCGGCGAGTTCAAAACAGATTTTTTGCGGGAAAGTGCGGAATCTGAGTTTGAAAAAGGCTCGGCGAAAGAAGAAGTGCAAAATGAAACTCCTTTTCCGCAACTTACCGCAGAATCGCGGCTTAGTTCCCCCGCTTTCCACACCCGGGACCTCCTCGCCGGCTGCATGCAAACCAGAGCCGGAGTCCTCGCACTTGTCAACGAAGTCGACTCCGAAGTTCTCCAGGGACTCCAAACGCCAGTCAGCCACGGAGACACCGTCACCTTCATTTCCACGCTCCACGGCGGATAGCCAAACCCCAAACCCTAAACCCTAAACCCTAACCCCTAAAGCTTGGGCTCGACTGTGGGCGGCAAGCCCTGAGCCCTCGGTGCTCGCTGCTGCTGCGGGCGGCAGGCTTCATACCCTTTTCGTCCAGAGACTTCTCTTCAGCGAATACGGAGGTCTAGGGTTTAGGGTTTAGGGTTTAGGGTTTAGGGTTTAGGGTTTGAGGGTCCAGCTCAAGTTTTGAAAGCTAAGCCGCACCATCCTAAACTTTAAACCCTAAACCCTAAACCCTGAGGTTCTTCATTGAGGCTCAAAAGGGGTCTGCTGCTGCAGCAGCAAGTGCGCCACCTTGAGTCAAATTTCTTTTCTACATTTAATTGATTAGTTAATTAATTTATTGATTGATTTATTTATTTATCATTTGTTTTTATATTCTCACTTGATGTAAAATGGGAATATATTAGAAATGCGTCTCCAGGCGGACCAAAGGTGCTGGCGGCTTCTTGCAAATTCAGCCTCAAATTTGGCCGCAGAGAAAAGGGTTTAGGGTTTAGGGTTTAGGGTTTAGGGTTTGGGGTTTATTCCCCCGTCTTCTCTGTAGTTGGTGTGAAAGTCCAAAATGGCACAAATGGTTATTACCCATCGATGCCATGTAAAGATCCCAAACCCTTCAGCCCAGGGTTTAGGGTTTAGGGTTTAGGGTTTAGGGTTTAGGGTTTAGGGCTTCAATGAGGCTTTGGACTGCAACACAAGACCGCCGCCTTCCGTTGCACTGAATAACAGCAGCAAAGTCTTCCTCCTGCGTCACCAAACTCATAAATCGCTTGCAAGTTGAGGGTTTAGGGTTTAGGGTTTAGGGTTTAGGGTTTAGGGTTTAGGGTTTAAGGGTCTGACCGTTTGAACGATCGGGTGCTGTTCTCTTTTTGCCGTTTTCTCTTTTTCCATTTTCGTTTCCTTTTCCTCATCTGAAAATGATAAATTTGAAGTCCAGGGTCTAGGGTTTAGGGTTTAGGGTTTAGGGTTTAGGGTTTGAAGTGCGTACCTGGCAATTCGCTGAGAGCTCTTTTCGCATTTCTCGGCTCCGGAAAATCTGCAAAGGAGAAAATTGAATTTTTAATCTTAATTTTAATTTTAATTTTGATTTTAATTTTAATTCTATTTGTTTTAATTATTTTGATTCTAATTTTAATTTCATTTATTTCAACTTTGTTTTTTGTTTCTTTTTATTTCTGTTTTTGTTTTTATTTTTGTTTTTGTTTTAATTTCGAATTTGAATTTTCTTTTTGTTTCATCTGCATTGGCCAGTAAATAGTATTTGCAAAAATTTAAATAAATAAATAATTAACTTATTTGTATTTTATTTATTTTTATTATTTGTTTTATTATTTATTTATTTTATTTAATTTATTTATTCATTTATTTATTATTTTATTTATTTGTTATTTATTTATTTATTTATTTTTCTTTTCTTACCATTTTGAATTTTCCTCCTTTTGCTGTCCGCTGCTTTCCTGCCAGAGAAAAATGGAAAAAAGTCGAAGACAAAATAAATAAGTTAATTAATTAACGAATTTAATGAATCTAATTAATTTAATTAACTAAGTAATTAATTAATTAATTAATTAATTAATTAACTAATTTTATTAATTAATTGATTAATTAATTAGTTAATTAATTAATTAATTTAATTATTTATTTATTTATTTAGTTAATCATTAGTTATTTAATTGAGTAATAAATAAATGATAACTCAACAAATAAATAATAAATTGATAAATTAGACAAATAGGAAAAATAATGAATAATAATTAAATGAGCGCGGAAATAAAGAGATAGACAATAAATAAATAAATAAATAAATATAAATAAATAAATAAATAAATAAACGAATAAAAGAAATAAAAAATGAGTAGGTGAAAACAATACGAGATGTGAATAAGAGAATTTTGAAGTAATAAAAAATAAAAGAAATAACTTTTAAAATAAGAAAAAATTAAAAAAATGAATAAGGAATTAATTCATTTGAATGAATTAATTTATCAATTCAAATTCTCATAAAACCATTATTTATTTCGTTTCTTTTTTGCTGCTTTTCTTACCCCTCAGATTTTGCTTTTTTCTTTTTTGCTGCTGCCGCTGCTGCTGCTGTTGCTGCTGCTGCAGTTCCCTTTTCGCTGTTGTCTTCGTTTTGCTTCTTTGAATCCATTTTTATTTTTTTCGGATCTTTTTCATTTTTCATTTTTTCTTTTTCCCCTTTTTCTGATTCATTTGTCCACGGTTCTGTTGCAATTACTGCTGCTGCTGCTGCTGTTGCCGCTGCTGCTGCTGCTGTTGTTTTTGTTGTGCTTTTGGCGGTTGCTGTCTCTGTGGCTGCTTCTCCGTTATCTGCTGCTGCTGCTGCTGTTGCTGCAGCTGCAGTTGTGCCTTTGTCTGCTGTTCCCTTTGCTGCGGTTGCTTCCGTTGTTGCACTTGCTGCAGTTGCTGCTGCTGCTGCTGCTGCTGCTTCGTTTTCGTCTAGAGCTGGTTTTGCTTCCGCTTCTCCTTCGACTGCTGCTGCTGTTGCCTCTGTTTGTTCTTCCTTTGCTGCAGCTGCTGCTGCTTTTTCTTCTGCTGCTGCTGCTGCTGGTTCTGCCTTTTCTTCTGCTGCTGCTGTTGTTGTTTCTGTTTTTTCCTTTTTTGCTGCTGCTGTCGCTGCTTTTGCTTCTGCTGCTGCTGGTTCTTCTCCCTTTTCTTCTGCTGCTGCTGCTCCCGTTTTTTTTTCTGCTGCTGCTGTTGCTTCTGCTTTCTCTTCTGCTGCTGCTGCTGCTCCCGTTATTTCTTTTGCTTCTAATTTGCCCTGCGCTTCAGCTGCTGCTGCTGCTTCTGCTGCTGCTGCTGCTGCTGCAGCTGCCGCCGTTGTCTCAGCCTCTGTCTCCGTTTGCGCCCTTGCTTCGCTTTTGCCTTCTGCTGTTTCTGCTGCTGCTTCTGCTGCTGTTGCTGCTGCTGTCGTTGCTGCTGCTGCTGCCTTTTTTGTCTCCTTTTTAGGCCTCGTTTTTCCTTGTGCTTTTTCCTTTGTCTTTTTCTTTCCCGTGTCAGTTGCTGCTGCTGCTGCTGCTGCTGGTGGCTGTGTCTGTTCGCTGTTGTCTTTCATTGCATTTTTTGGATCTTCCTTTTTTTTCGCTTTTTCTTTTTTGATTCTTTTGCTGTTGCTGCTGCTGCTTTTATTTGCTGGGGCTTTGGCTTTTTGCTGCTCTTTCCGCGCCTGCTGCTGCGTTTCACCTGCTGCAGCTGCTCCTGCTGCTGCTCCTGCTGCTTCCTTCTCCGTTTTTTCTGCCGTTTCTTCTGCTGCTTCTGCAGCAGCTCCTGCGGCTGCTGCTGCAGCGGCAGGAGCTGCAGCAGCAGCAGCAGCAGCAGCTTCTTTTTGTGTTTCTTTTTCCTTTTCTTCTTTTTCTTTGAGGGCCAGCCGCTGCTGCCGTTTGGCTCTGAAGACATCCACAGAAGTGGCGGAAGGCAGTTTGGGGTTTCTTGTCCTTTGGCCTTTTTGGACTTTGTGGCATTTGAGGAGGAAAAGTTCAAATTTTTCTCTTTCTTCTTCGGTGAGGGTCTAATTGAAGCAAAAGAATTGAATAAATGAATTTAATAGAAGAAATAAATAATCAATTCTTTGATTCTCTTCAAAATTCCAATTTTAAACTCCCAATTACCTCCAAACAGCCCCGCTCCAGGGGCAGTTCGCCTCTTAGCGCCAAGAAGGGAATTTCGGGCCGCTGGGGAAAAGTCGAAGTTCAAGTTTTGAATTTTCGAGAAATTTTGGAAAGTTTTTGCAAAATGGAAATCCTTTAAAAGCTGGAGAATTAAAAACAATTTTAATTCAAAAAAAGGGAATTTAATTCATCTTCTGGCACTTGAAAGTCAAAGAATTCAATTCACGAGAAAAGAGAAATTGCAATTCAGAAAAAGTCTGAAAACGGGAAAACCGCCGCTTAAAATGAAGTATTTGACAATAAAGTAGTTGTAATTTAAAATGAATTTATTTATTTATTTATTTGAATTTAAATTTAAATTTATTCAAATTTAAATTCAATTTCCAGAAAAGACCCCCACTGACCATCACGTAGCTCGTCAAGCAGCAGTATCCTGTGCAGGTTCCTGAAGTGGAAAGCAAGATGAAATTGAATTCTTTTTTTGAAATCTTTTTTGAAATAGTTTTAAATTAAATAAAATATAACTTTGAATTTGTTTTATTTGATTTCCTTCCGTTTCCCGCTGCTTACCTCCCAGCGAGTCCGACAGCCGCGACTTCAGACACTCCGTCGCAATGCAAGTTGAACTGAAGGCAAAATGGCCTCCCCATTTGATCTTTTTGTTTTTTTTGGGTTTCAAAAGAGGAACATTTGACTCCATTCTCTCTTTGAGTCTTTTTATTCAAAAAGGAAATCCAAAAAACCCAAAAAGAAGAAAATGAATTTCCGCCGCCAGCGACTGCACCGCGCAGCCGTCATTTCAGGTGTATAGGCACCTCGCCGCATACACCTGAATCTTCGAAAAACGAGAAAAGAGAGATACTTTTTATTTATTTTAATTCGCTAGACTCAAACAAACACAAAAATAAATTAATATTCACGTTCTTATTTGTTTCTACTTCTGTTTTTCATCTGCTGCAAATTATCTGCACTTATTTGCTTGATTACGCATATATTAGCGTATAGCAGATATTACAAACTCCACACACTTGTCGTATGTATATATATTATATATAATATAAATACTAGTATATATAATATATAATATAGGTGCAGATGCACATGTGTACATCTTTTTTGCAAATACATTTTATCTCTTCTTGCATATTTTCCTTTTCACAGGCCGACACGTCCCTGCAAGTGGCGCAGTGGGGTGTACATACACTGTATGTGGGTGAAAATGCAATCTAGTTCTTTTCTCTTCTATTTATTTTAGTTTATTTACTATATTTATTAAATTTAATTAATTAGTTTAATTTACGTAATCTCTTTAATTTATTTACTTATTTAATTTACTTAAAATTGAAAAGGAGAAAAAAGAAGAAAATAAAAACTTGCAAGAAACTTCGGGTTGCTGCTGCGTCTGCGCCTCGGCCAGCTGCAGCACTTTGTCTGTCTCAGTGAGCAGCAGCAAGACCAAAAAAAGAAAATAATAAATAAATAAATAAATAAATAAATAACTGAATAATAAATAAATAAATAAATAAATAATATCAAAGAAAAGAAGAAGCACTCTCTGACGTTTCTTGGCGCTCTTCTGAACTCGGCAGCAAAGAGATGCGACACAGCAACACACTGCTGCTGCTGCTGCTGCTGCTGCAGGCTGCTGGCAGTGCTGCTACCCACGGCTCGCCCTGTCCCTGCAGCAGCCGCTTGATGTCTGCATTCTTTACAAAGTACTTGCTGCCGTTGATAGTGAGTGCTGTTTCTGCTGCTGCTGCTGCTGCTGCTGCTGCACCAGCAGCAGCAAGGATAGGAGGCAGAGCAGCAGCAGGCACTGCAGCAGCAGTTAATAAGCAGCAAATTTCATTCAGCTGCTCCTCCGTCGCCTTCCCCAGGCGCTGCCACCTGTCTTCCCTGTACGGCCAAGCCACGCTGCTGCTGCTGCTGCTGCCGCTGCTGCTGCTGCTGCTGCTGCTGCTGCTGCTGCAGAACCACTGTATGGGGTCAGCACAGGTGAAGCTCGAGCTGCCCAGGTATTCAACTACATCTTTAACAGCAAAAAGCCCAACAGCATTTAAAGCAAACAAAGACCCTCTCATTATCAAATGCATGCAAACTTCCTTCCCTGCTGCTGCTGCAGCAGCAGGGGCCCCTACTGCAGCAGCAAGGGCCCCTGCTGCAGCAGCAGGGGCCCCAGGGGCCCCTGCTGCAGCAGGCACTGGAGCCCCTGCGGCCTCTGCTGCAGCAGGGCTCTCCCCAGTCCCTGGAGGCCCCACTTCTGACATGAACGCAGCAGCAGCAGCAGCAGCAGCAGCTGTTGCTGCTGCTGGAGGGCCCTCCGGACCTGAAGGGGGCTCATCTGGGCTTGGGGGGGCCCCCAAAGCTTGGGGGGCCCCCAGGGGGCCCCCCTGGGGGCCCCCAAAGCTAGCAGCAACAAACTCTAGGCCCCACAGCCTTAGGGCTTTGTGGCAAAAAGAAGTAAATGCAGCAGCAGCAGCTGCAGCAGCTGCTGCTGCTGCTGCGCTGCTGCTGGGGCCCCCTGGGGGGCCCCACAGCTTGGGGGGGCCCCCGAGGGGGCCCCTAAGAAAGAGGGGGACAGATAGCTGCAGCCAGTTTGCTGCTGCTGCTGCCACTGTGTCGGCCCAGAATTGGTCTGAAGAGCAAACCCTAAACCCTAAACCCTAAACCCTAAACCCTAAGCCATCAAGTTCAAATCCTAAACCCTAAATCGTAAACCCCCATTTTGGGGACTCAAAATGTAGCTGCTGCAAAACCCTCTGGGGAGCGCCTCGCTGAGCTCTAGGGTTTAGGGTTTAAGATTTAAGCGTAAGCAACTAGGGTTTAGGGTTTAGGGTTTACCAGAGAGAACGGGGGTTGGCTGCGGCTGCTTGATCGCCTGCAGGTGCAGGCACTGCGTCAGCGGGACTGTAGGGTCCTGAAGAAACCACAAACCCTAAAAATCCCTAAACCCTAAACCCTAAACCCTAAACCCTAAACCCTTAACACTAAATCCCACGCACCGAAGCCCCTCTTCTGCGCTGCAGAGGGTCTAGGGTTCAGCAAAAGTGAACCGGCTGGCCAGCCTTCCACGCTAAACCCTGATTAGGGTTTATAGCTGTGTTATTCCTACTATTGAGGGTTTAGGGTTTAGGGTTTAGGGTTT